ACCCTTCGGGCTTAATTGCTTAGGTTAGGGAGGCTACAAAACCAAACTTATCTATATTTTGATTATCATCATTTTTTTTTGCTCTTTTTTGTTTTTTTTTTCAAAATATATATTATCCTTTTCCCTTAGTTATTATTTTTAACAAAAGAACATAAATAATGTAATAATCCAATGTGCAACCCACAATCATATGTTAAAGTGTGTGTGAAAATTACAGTTTAAGAATACATATTAAATGTGTCTATGAGCAGAATTAATTGATAACAATGCGAGAGTTTGTAAACCTGAATATTTCAAGAAATATTATGATAGACCTTGTTAAGAATGGTTACTAAGATGCGTCTCAAAAGTCACTTTAACAAAAGAGTTCATTTACTCTACCATCCTAGTAACAATAGTTTTGCACATTCTTTATAAAATAGAAAACACAGTTAGTTAATTTTTTTTTGTCAATTACTAATCTCTCCCCTTAACAAAAACGAGACATTGTCCTCAATATCCTAAGGTAAAAAGATAGAGTATAGAAGACATCACCTGAAATAACAAACATTGACAAACCTGAAACACAGTTAAACAAATATAATAAACAACAAAATAGAATAATAAAACCAAAAGACACAAAGATTCGCAAATGAAGGCTCAAATCCAATCTAAGTTTTTTATAGCTTTCCTTAAATGATCAATTTATGCGACTCATGGAGGGATCAATTACAGGAATGAAAGATTGTAGTTGGTTAATCAATTGTTCAGTAGTAGCAGCTAAGATTATGGTTTGTCGTGTCGAAGATGTTAGAAATTCCTGTCCACAGCATGATAAAGAAATGACAATAACTTATCATAATAACCATTAACATTTAACAGGTCTATAGGTTTATGGTGAATGTGCAGTTGGGTCTAAGAGGAAATATGAAAGATCTCTTCCAATGTGCCTACACCACCTGGTGAAGAAATGAAGGCATTCGTATAGTTAAACATTGCATTCATTCGAGCAGACATTATGGAAACCTGTAGTTCCTCTCTAATTGTTTTTTCAATAATGTCCCCTTGTGCTAAAGCTTTGGGGATTACCCCTAAAACTTGACTACCTCCTAAAAATACAGTTATTAACACACCTTCTATTAACCCAAGACTGCCTCCCCCATACACTAAATGAATCTTTCTCTCAGCTAGCAATTGACCAAGATGATTTGCTGGTTCTAAAAACTCATTTTCTTTCCTAGGACTAGATCCACTAAAAGCATAAACATTTCTTATGTGATGACCTGAGGAACTAGTCATTTCTACACAATTTTATATTTGTTGAATGTATGGGTTCAGTAGAAATGAAGGAAGGAAGAGAGGATTTTATAGATGAGAAATTAAAAAGGCAATCATACCACCTATATGTAGACCAGCTGGAGTCTCACACTCTCTCCCTCTCTATTTATTTATTTATTTATTTTTAAAAAAGCATGTGTATGTACAGATAGTTGTGATTGTGACTCACATCTTCCCTTGGTTTTACATCTATGAACGACTTAAACACACTTTATGGGTTAGGGATAGGTTTTCCATCCAGTTTTCTTAAAACTGGCAAATAGGGTCTTTTTTAGTCAGATTCCCAAGACTAAGTCGATCATGTTCTTTATGAAAATGGGGTCATAAATCATGAGATGCACAATGCACATCTTTACCAGGATATGTCTCAAAAGTCAATAAAAGATTATCTAAAGATTCTTTATGTTTTGAAATAAATCCTAACTTTTGACAATTTTCACAAGCTTTGCAGAATGCATGTGAGTCCTTGAACATGGTGGGCCAATAAAATCCATTTTAAAAGATTTTTGTAGCTGTCTTTTTTTATGAGAAATAACTCTCACATACTTCAGAATAACAAAGTTTAATGACACTGCTTACCTCATTGTCGAGAATGAATATTTGAAATATTTAATCAGGATAATATTTGAATAAGTAAGGGTCATCCTAATAAAAGTTTTGCATATTGCTCAAACAATTTCTTTTGTCTTAGGTACTCTAATAAGCTGGCAAATCTCTTGAAGCAAGAAAATTGTTACTTTTATCATACCAAGGCATTGGACTAAGAGAAAGTAAGGATTCGTTAGGAAAGTAATCATCGATTGATGTGATGTTGGATGTCGAATCTGTTGTCACTCTTGACAAAAGATCTGCATTAACATTTTTATTGCCTTTTTCATCCGTGATTTCTTTTAGAGAATAAATCATTTGCAAATCTTCACATTCATCCAACTCATTATTACTTAAAGTAGATTCAAGTTGATTATAAACTAATTCCTCAATATGACCTACTTCTTGTAATTCATTATCATCTTCAGGTTGCTTGCAAATATTGAAAATATTCATCTCTAATGTCATGTTTTCAAATGATAGTTTCATCAGTCCATTCCTACAATTAGTCAATGCATTAAAAATTACAAGAAACAAACGTCCTAAAATGACAGGAAATGAGTTACATGCTTCAATAAGTTGTGTGTCCAAGACAATAAAATCCACACGATAAATGAATTTATCAACTTGTACTAACACATCTTCAATTATTACTTTAGGCACGTTTATAGATCTATCGTCAAGTAAAAGAGTTACAGAAGTTGGTTTTAACTCAGCTAGATTGAGACTTTGAAAAATTGAATATGAAAGTAAATTCACATGGCTCTAAGATCAAGTAAGGCTCTTTCAATTTTATGTTCTTCAATAAAGCAAGAAATTGTAGGGCAACTAGGGTCTTTATATTTCAAAGCATTATTGTTTTGAAGAATGACACTTACTTGTTTGGCTAAAAAAGCTTTCTTCTTCATATTCAATTTTCTCTTCACAATGCACAAATCTTTTAAAAATTTAGCATAAGAAGGAACTTGTTTAATAACATCTAATAAGGGTATATTGATCCTTACCTGTTTGAAAGTTTCAAAGATTTTAGAGTTGTGATTGACTTTCCTTTGTTTGGTCATGACATGAGGAAATAAAAGTGGTAGCAGAGAATTAGTCTTTTCTTTTAATTTTCAGATTTAACCCCTTCCTTACTCTCAGAGATTGACTCATCATCTTTCTCACAAGGTTCAAGAGTGGGTTTTTTGATAACCTTATCACTATGAAGAGTGGTGATTGATTTCACTTGATCTATGTGCTGACTTCCAAAACTACTTGCATTTACATTGTATTGCCCTTTGAGATTTTGTTGTGGTTAAGATGGAAACTTACCTTTCTCTTGAAAACTAAGAGCAGACGTCAATTTTGCAAGATTATTTTTAAAATCTGTCATGCTTTGAGTAACTTGAGTATTGATTGTCTCTTGCTTTTTAATGAATGTATGCAATGTTTCCTCAAGATTTATTATAGAAGGTGGAACATAAGGAGGTGCATATCCATGAGAATTTTGAAAATTATGATATGTTTGAAACTATGGTTGTGAAGTTTGTGCCTATTGTTATTGTAAATTGCCCATAAACATAGGATCGTAGAAAAAAAGAAAAGAAAAGACCTTAATGAAAAATGAAGACTCAATATGAAAAGAAATGAATAAATAGTAGAAATAATAATAAATACAATGAGTAAGGGAGAGAATAAGCTCCATAAATAAATTTAAAAATGATTAGTACTTAAAAGTGTATTTTTATCAAGGTTTTATATTATCATTTTGCACTTCAAGTATTAATAACTCCTTAGCTAAAACATGTTTTATAATATCAAGTTTATGCCTTTCAATTCCTTTTCTCTACTTAGTTAACTTTTATCTTATTTATGTTCTTATTTTGTTTATTTGTTTTTCTTTCTTTCATTATGTTTAGCTAAGTTTATTATATCAAGGTAAAAAGGTTATACTAATGGTATAAGAATAAGTATAGTGTAAACTTAATATAGACTTTAATATTTGATACTAGCATGTTTTGTATTTGTTATCTTGTTCATTCTTTGATATTTTGCTTGTTAAATGACTAATCTAGATTTATGTTGCATAACACTTGGTACAACAAATGCTTGGCACTTTCATAGCCCATATTGTATGGTATAACCGACACCTGAGCTATGAAAGAAACTTGATTTATTGTTAACATAAGTTATAATCATGAATGCCTGACAAGATTTACAAGTATTAGCATTAATCGAATAAGATAACTAATATAATTATGTTAACAATTTATAATCTGATTGGAACCTTCTTTATGTGTGGTTTCCAATTGAATATTAAGAGTTTATACTATACTTGTTTGACATACTATTAGTGGATCCTCTAACCTTGATATTTGTTGTTATCATTGTTTAATCCTTACATTAATATTCCATCTCAAAGTTCTCATTTTCTTCTTCTTCTTCTCGTTTTTTTTATTACTACTACTACTACTACTACTAATAGTATTATTATTATTATTGTCATTGTTGTTATTGTTTCTTCTCGTTCTTTTTCTTTATTATTATTATTACTACTACTACTACTACTACTAGTATTATTATTATTATTATTGTTGTTGTTGTTGTTGTTGTTGTTATTGTTATTGTTGTTGTATTATTGTCATCTATAATTTATACAATTAACTTCTCTGTAGTTCGACTCCGGTTTTGCTAGGTTATTTATTACTTCGACACTCCTACACTTGAGAGAAAATATCAATATTTTGGTCGTGTCAAAAAGTATGGTGAAAATTGTAATGGACATTACAAATTTTGAATTAAAATTTATAATATTAGTGAGAATGGAGATGAGTTTCAAGGGATGAAGGTTTCTTTTATAAAACCCGACATGAAACCCATTAAAAAGTTTCACCCAACATCAACTTGGTAACATTCAATAAATGTGAATAATATATGTAAGAAAGAGTAAAATAATAATAAGAGTGAAATGAGTGAGTTTTGAAAATAGCATGTAAGGAGAGATTTAACCCGATTATCAACCTAAAATGAATGAGATAACCAACCTTAAAAAAAAATAGGACCAAACCAAACAAGACTTAACTTCATTTATAAGGGAGTAGAAGTAGTTGGGTGAAAAGAGGATGACTTTACCTCTCCTATTACTACCGGCCAAAATAGCCCCTAGCAACCCCCTCTTTTACAAAATTTCCAGCAAAATGTTCTCCTGCATTTCATCCATAAAATGCTAGAGTGAATGAGGAGTGAAAGTGAGGAGAAAGGCCACAAAATAGAGATGTAGAGAGAGAGAGATTCACGGCTAAAGGCAGAAAGAGAGGGAGAAGAATCAACCAAGGAAGAGAACAAGAAGAACATGTATACAGTTGTGAAAAATCATCCTTAATCCTTGCTTAATTCATATGGTAAGAACAACCCTTCAGTGTCCATTGTTGTCTTGAGTGAGCTTTGTTGAAAAGGTTGAACAACCCAAATCAAAACTAAGGATTTTTGTGCATATTAATGTTTTGAAAACTAATATTGTGAATGAGAATTTTTATAAAGGAAAGAACAAGTTTCAAAGAATGTATAGTAAGAAAAATTTGATGTAAACTAAGAAGAAAACCGTAGATTAGGGCTAGTCATAAGGAGACTTGAAGGGGGGAGGAGAAAATTGAAGATATATTTCAATGATTCATGATCTTGAACAAATATTTAAGGAAAATAGGGCTGGAACAGAAGTTAAAAGTGTTAATGTTCTTAGAAATTGTATGAATAAATGTTGAATCCCTTATAATTCCTTGTTTGAGAGATTGGTATATGTTTTATGTATGATAACATATATTGTAAATGAAGAAAATTATGTGATTTAAATGAATGAATTGATAAGGACATGGAGCACAAGTTTCGGCCAAAAGAAGAAATTCAAGGGAGAAATTCTGATTTGGTGAATGTTGTTTGAAAAATAGAAATGATTGCTTGGAATAACCTTGTATGAAGTATTGATATCATCTTATTGTACATTCTTTAATGAAAGGGGTAAGAAACCACAAGAATATACTTGTGGGTATATGTATTAGTTTGAAAGAAGAAAATGTGCAAGAGGCACAAATAAAATTATATGCATAATGTGAACATCTCTAGATAGACAATTATTAATGATTATATACATATGAAAATGCTTGGGTGAGGTAATGTTGCTTAGTGTGGATAATAAAAGGAATTGAAGAAAATTCATTATAATTCACTTAAGCATGTTCGACAAAAAGAAAACAACATGGGAAGGGTTATGGTTTAATGCATTTGACATGCTCAGCAATGCTTGATATTGAATAAAAGAAAATTTAACATGAGTGTTTCAGAAGTTTTGATCAAGAATTGTTAACAGGTAGCCATATTAAGGAAGAAAGTTCTTTCATCTGGTTGTTGTGCTTAATGAATAGTTTCTAGCAAAATAATAATAATAATAATAATAATTTTGATCATTTTGATGAACATGTAATATATGTGGTAATACTATTTGACTTGAATTATGTGGAACATATTATATGATGCCAATATAGATGAGAATTGATAATGTTATCTTGAATATAAATACAAAAGGATTTATTGTAGAAATAAGGCCTATATTCGGCCAAGGTAGAAGAAAGAGTTGGTTGGACATTTAATATTAGTGAGAATGGATGTTGATTTAATGAATTAAAGTGATGACTAAAAATAGCTTATTCATGAACTTGTTTTTGAAACTAATTGGGCATGTGAAATAATGGATATGATGAATGAATTAGAAAGGGGTTTGAGTACTGATTCAAGATGTTCTACTGAAATGCAGAAGAAGCATACAGAGTGGGACCTGACTTCTCACATGCAAGTACAACAGAAGTTCAAGGTAAGGGTTGCCCCCTTGCTTCTTTAAATTGTTTAAATTCTTGTAATGCTAGTTATATGATAGACATTATATGTATTTTGTACTACTATGTATCATGAGAAATATTGCTATATGAATATTGCTTATGGGGAGTATAAATATTGTTGCGTGAAAGTTACCAACAAGTAGGAAAAAAATTATTATTGTGTGACCATTGCCAATGAGCAAGAAATGTTATTGCAATGTGAATGTTGCCTACGAGCAAAGAAACAAATACTAATTCTATGTGAATGTTGCCTACAAGCATGAGAAATAATATTATTATATGAATATGTCCACCTGGTGAATATGACTATAGAAAGGAAAGATACGGTGAAACGAACATGGATTTGAAATCTGAATTTTGGTCGTAGACTCTGGGATTTGGAGTTTGGATATGGGTCGATATATATATATAAGAAAGAAA